TATTTTACCATTTTGGGGGGAGCTTCAGCTCGAAAGATTTTTTTTTTCATATACATATAACGATAATTAATTTGAAAAAAAAATAAAGAAATTAATTACCTATATGAAATGGTATTTAAGTGGTTCTTGAAGTCCTATTAAATATAATCACACGAACAAGAATACTTTAAGAGATAGTTTTTAATATTTTTTCCTGTAAAACATGGTTATATTTTACCATTTTGGGGGGAGCTTCAGCTCGAAAGATTTTTTTTTTCATATACATATAACGATAATTAATTTGAAAAAAAAATAAAGAAATTAATTATCTATATGAAATGGTATTTAAGTGGTTCTTGAAGTCCTATTAAATATAATCACAAGAACAAGAATACTTTAAGAGATAGTTTTTAATATTTTTTCCTGTAAAACATGGTTATATTTTACCATTTTGGGGGGAGCTTCAGCCCGAAAGCCCCCCCCCCTCCGTAGATCCGCCTGTGCCTTAACGAGGAGGTGGGAAAATATCGGATGCTATTCGCTAATTCCATCACTTACTATTAAAAAACGCTGAAAATTATTTCACAATGGTTTATTATTTCCAAACAATTATACATCTAAAGTAACTAAATTTAACTTTAACTTTAACTTTTACTTTAATAATCTAAAGTAACTAAGGTAAATTTTACCTTCCTAGTTACAAAGAAAAATAAATACAAGGTGATTCCAATTATTGGACTAAATTTTTTTTTTGATCATTAGTAATATGCTAAAAAAAATATCATTACTTCAAAATACATTCAAAATTTAAAAACCAAACAAACGATATAACATTTGGAGTAGAACATATAAAAAAAACTGGAGACCATATCTTTGGTCCTAATTGTCCGATTTTAACGATTTTTTTTTTTTTTTTTAGGAAATTCCGTTTTGTTTCCGATTTTGTTTTTTAGGAAATTTTTTAGGAAATGCTATTTTTTTTTAGCATATTACTAATGATTAAAAACCAACTTAGGTGGTTTGGAAATATCTCGCGAATGGCTGAAAACAGAATTGCCAGGGCTACCTACGAGGTTAAAGTGGAGGGAAGGAGGCCACAGGGAAGACCAAGAAAAAGATGGGAAGGAGTTAAAGAAGCCTTTGACAGGAGAGGATTGGACTGGAGTAGGAGAAGCAGCCCAGGATAGAGATTCGTTGGATCAGGCTCTATAAGAAGGAACCTCACACTGCGCAGCGGTAACAGAGGACTGGATTAAGTAAGTAAGTAAGGAAATTCCGTAAATTTAAAAAAAAACATATATATATACAATATCGACAAAAAAGTGTATACATTTTGAGTTATTCGGAATTTAATTTTACCATCCCTCGTTTCTTTTTTTCCAGCTTCTTTTCGTTGAAGTATGTTATATAGATAAATTTAAAGGGTTTCGAGAAAATGACTTTAGCGAAGTTTCATTGAAATCGGTACATTCGTTTAGGCGCTACAGTCTATAGCAACGCAAGTTTTTCGGCCGCCATTAAAAGGCGGATAGTAATGTCGATGAAGGAGGATCATCCTAGGGTAACCTCTGATTTTATATCCAAATTTGAAAAAAAACATCGGTAAAGTAGTTTCGGAGAAAATGCGCGGACGGTGGACGGCGCCGGACAAAAAACATTATATTCGTTTTTCGAATTTCTAAAACGTGAAACCTTAAATTTTGAGAGGGGGTTAAGTTTTTGAATTTTTTGGTCGATCACAATGGTTGATTATTGAAAATAATAAACCAAAAATTAAATGTACGTATAACTTTGTTTTTCCTTTTTTTTTTTGTTTAATGACCAAAATGCTTGGAAGTAATGCATGCAGTAATCACTTTGACACAGTATTCTAACAGGAAGTAACTAAGAAATGTTTGGAAAAGTTCATTAGTTCATTTCTTCTTAATATAACTAATATAACAAACAGCCTTATTACTGAAGTGACAACTTATTTATAATAATCACCAATAGTTATGCACAACAATACAAATAAATTGACATAATAAAATATACATAAAGATTTATAGCATTTCAAAAATTCAGAATCATGAAAATATATTATGCATGTAAATAATAACTATGTTTCTACAGTGATTATGTAAGGAGTGAAAATTTCTAAGACCTCTCCAAAAAAAAGGTTTTAATTTAGATACCACAAATTTAACATTTTGTTTTTAGATAAGTTTGAATGTTTCAATTAAGTTCGAACTTTTTGGTCATTTTTTAAAATCTTCAAATTAGGATAATTTGAAATTCACTGAAATTATACATTATTTGTCCTGAAGTTTATAATAAAATTAACTAAATATAAACTTTAATTTTAATAATAACAAAAATGTGTATATTTTAATCATATAGATTTAACAAGTACCTGTATGCTTGGATATGTAGTAATTACTAATTTTAACATAATATGCGTCTTAAAAATTAAAAGGATGATTATTATCTATTTTCCTTGTCTCTGATAACAGGTAAACATATATGTTTATTGCAATATTAGGTACATTTTTTTATTCTTAAGTTGAGTATTAACCCTTATTAACCTCCATGACCTTTTTCTTCATTAATTTCTTTATTAATGCACTAAATTCATCATCAAATTTCATCAGTAGTGCACCATAAATATATTTTTAGAATATGATTAATATTTTCTATTTAATTTTTTTTATAAAATATGTAATAAAGATAGCATTAGCGAATCTAGAGCAGAGGTGCAGGCGAACGAATAATTAAAAAAGGAATTTCTAGAATGCTCTGATCCCTTGGAAACTATTTTTAATTGAATTTGTGGACAAAAGTATGCAAGCGTCGTATTTTAGGTTCATAGACGTCAGTTATCCAGTTAAAGAATTTTGATTGCCATTTTATAAATAATAGACATAATTACAGCTATATTAGATTTATTATTTTCTCTATGATCTGTAACCCTTATCCATCCAGATCGGTCGATCTTTTGGACTATTTGTCTTTCTTTCAGTGGTGCATCTAGGAATGTCTTAAAGGGTATCTATACATGTTTACAATTTTTACTATAAACCAGTGACTTATTAAATGTTAATAAGATATAATAAAAATTAGATAAATTATTATGGAGCACGTTAGATTGAAAGTAGCCTACTTAATGGTGTTTAATACTGATAAAAAATTTAAAATTATTCATAATAGGTACGTCATTGAATTATTTCTATTATTTTTTTTTTATAGAAATACCTTCCCAATGTTTATGAATGTTATCTGGTCAGAAAAAAATGATAGAAAGTAAAATGTAAATTATTTATTTCACAGCATATGCCTGCAACATCATAAAATTATATATATTATTTAAACAGAAAACAAAAAAAGACTATATAAATCTTTCTAACTGTCAACTTTAGAGATAATAAAATATCACGTAATTTTATTAAATTTATTTCTCTTTTATGTAAGGTGTATCCCAAAAAAAAAAAATCTGGATTCTGAACAGATTTTCACATAACAAGCATATTTTTCGTTCCAAGGTTTTCTTAGTCGTCTAAATTTACTTAGTCTAAATATACTTAATATAAATACATAGTCTAAATGCATTGCACAAACTGACGAAATGTCTTACAAATTTAAAATAACAGCTACAGCGAAGGGTTTCGGCTCATGTCATTAAATACTAAACGGGAAGGGTTGAAAAAACAGACTTATCTTTTTTAACTTTTCATTGTAACTATTTCAAACATTTTATAGCCAACAAGTCTCAAAAGCATTAGTTCAATAGTGATTTAGGAAAACAATAGAAGACTGTCTTTTAGTCAATAAATATTTGATTATTGTATGATTCGATCGTTTTAAATTAATTAAGGAATTAATTAAATGGTATAATTTTTATTTTTATTTAAACACTACAATTAACGGCATTTAATGATACAAAAGAAACTTATTTGGGACTGATACAGCGATGGCAGCTAATCGATTGAGGAGGCAGTGTGAAGACGTGGCCACATTCATCATGTCTGCTGTATGAATAATGGCCTCAGCCCCATTTTGAGTCTACCTTGCGCTATAACCTTTCTAATATTTTTAGTATTATCGTATCCGTAATGATGTATTTATTTATTCAATGATGTTTTTTTGTGTTGTAACATATGAACAGAAAAATAAAAATTGAAATCTTTAACGTGAGTGTAGACATTTCATAAACTATGGAAGATACAAAATTTAAATGGTTGTTTCTCTATGCAAGTATTCTTCTTTCTTGTTTTTGATGTTTTACATCTGTTGTCAAGAGAAATAGAAACCAAAAGTTGAGCTTAGCGCTATTGTTACTATTAGTAGGGGTGTCCATTCTCCCAAGAACGATGGCGCAAACCCTTCCCCCCCCCCTCCTCCCAAGTTATTTTATTTCCCACCTTTTCTTAAAAGCAGAGCAAGCGAACGTAGAATTAGAAACATCGTCGAATTTTGCTGAAACTTTTCACTACTAATTTATTAAAGACTACATTTTTCGCTTTGATGCATCGTTTAGGAGTTATAGATAAAAAACCCAAGAATTATCGAAAAAATCTGACTTTTTTGGCTATAAAAAGTTTTCCCTTGGCGGCCCACGTTAGCAATTTTGTTTTTTACCTGTCTAAGCCCATATATAAAAGTTGAAAAAATAAAAACTTTTTTCGCAATGGATCCCGCTTCGATCCCCAAATTGTTGGCCTAATATTCTTTAAATCAGCAGCCATATTTGAAAGCAGCTGCTCTGGAACGGCAGACAAGGTTCTTTTTACCCAGAATAACATACACTTTGGTAATTTACAATCAAACCTTCGCCTGCGATCAGGTCGATTTTTGGGCCCTGGCTCCAGGGCTATAATTTTCATGACTAGCCGTGTCCCGCCGGACTTAGTGGAGGTCTCAATGTGGCCCGCGGGTTAAAAGATTCGGTGACTCCTTGCATAACTTGTATGATATATGGATATATATATATATATATATATATATATATATATATATATATATATATCCAATATATATATATTTACCTGTGGTGGTGGTACTGCTGATAGTGGGAGTGCCAGGGCTCGCTGGAGGTGGGGCAGTGGTACATGGCAGGCTCTGCCCCGTGGTAGCCGCCCTCCAGGCCGCTCGTGCTGCTCGAGCTGGAGCTGTTACTGTTCCAAAACGAGGGGGGGAAGTTGCGTGACGTCATCGGCGACCAGTCTAAATGAAGAAAAAAAAAATATATATATATAACTAGTATAAATAAACTAGGTTTATTATTTCCAATTAATTATACATCTAAACTAACATTGCCTTTCTAGTTACAAAGAAAAATAAATAAAAGGTGATTCCAATTATTGGACTAAATACTATAGCCCTAGTACTAATGCCTTTCAGTGTTGCACACTGTATTAATACTCAATAAAATAAAAAAAAATAAAAAATATATATATATATATATATATATATTGAGTTACTACAATTTGAGAAAAGTTTTTAATTAAGTTAGGAAATTATTGTCACGTTTAAGTCATTTTTAAGAAATAAAGAAAACTATTTTTTTCCAAAATGAAAGAAAGTCAAAACAGAAGTAATTATCAGGAGAAAAGAAAACAACTAATAAAATTACATTAACAATTAATGACAGCTGACATACTATGTAGATTTTTTTTTAAATTTTATTGCTGTTGTTTTGTAGAATATTTGATAAGGCTTTAAAACTGAAGCCTTATAATATAGAGGAAATGAAAACTTCTTCTTAAAAATATTTTTTATTAAAAAATTAAAATTGTGGGTGTAACGAGGTCTTTTGGAAATCTTTACATGTTTATTAATTAAATGTAAAAAAATAAAATAAAATAAGGAAGTTATAAACAGATTAACAAATATTGCATAGAAAAGTTCGATTTCTTACTAAATTACATAGCTGTAGTTATCATTTTTCTAGTCGAAATAAAAAACAACAAGATAAGATTTAACATAGGAGCAGACTTTTGATTTTGTTTGGGGAGATGAAGAACAAAAAAAAAAAAAAAATGTGACGGAAGTTTTTATTATGTGTAAAAATTCTACATAATTTTTGTGAAACGAACAAATATGACATTGAAGCTTTAAAGTTAGTTTGTTTATATGTTCGTATAGTTGTGAGGGCTTTTTATTTCCAAACAATCATACGTCTAAAGCAACATTACCTTGCTAAAAAAAGTATCATTACTTCAGTAACACATCCAAAATTTAAAAACCAAACAAAGGATATAACATTTGGAGTAGAACATATAAAACAAAAAAAACGGAAACCATATCTTTGCTCCTAATTGTCCGATTTTAACGATTTTTTTTTTATTTTAGAAACTTTTAAAAAAACATATCGACATACAATATCGACAAAAAAGTGTAAACTTTTTGAGTTATTCGGAATTTAATTTTACCATCCCTCGTAACTTTTTTTCAAGCTTCTTTTCGTTGACGTATGTTATATAGATAAATTTAAAGGGCGTCGAGAAAATGACTTTAGGAAAGTTTCATTGAAATCGGTACATTCGTTTAGGAGCTACAGTCTATACCAACGCAGGTTTTTCAGTAGCCATTTTGAAAGTAAAAGGCGGATAGTAATGTCGATGGAGGAGGATCATCCTCGGGTGATCTCGGATTTTATATCCAAATTCGAAAAAAATCGGTCCTGTAGTTTCGGAGAAAATGCGCGGACGGAGGACGGACAAAAAAAAATTTATTCGTTTTTCGAATTCCATGCATGAAACCCCAAATTTTGTGAAGGGATTAAGTTTTTGAATTTTTTGTTCGATCACAATGGTTGATGATTATTGAAAATAATAAACCAAAACAAAAAAAATCTACGGAACAAATCTGGTTTGTCCGATAGGACTTTACTTTGAATTGTTCGGAAGTTGAACTTAATGTAATAGTCAGATGCCTTTCACACCCAATGTCTGTACTTTAACATGAACGGAGGCAATATATGGGATGTACTCGCAAGAAGTATCTTATAGTGGAAAGTTGCCCAATGCAAGACCGAGACGAGTCTTGGTCTTGCAAACTCAGTATTGGTCATGGTCATGCTCTTGCGTAACAGTCTTGCAGTTACTTATTAGCTTATTACTATGGAGCTATTACTGTAATTTTTTAGATAGGAGAAACCTAACTAAGCCGTAATGAAAAATTGGAGGAGTTAAATGCAACAGTTTATTGGTCTTACAAATTATTAACATATAGTAACTAAGATTATCAAGTATTAGTAAATATTTTGCCTTAATTTTTATTTAAAAAATCGATTTTTTTACCAGTCCTGGTCTTGGTCTTGCAACAGTTAGGTGGCCTTGGTCTTGGTCTTGCAAAGTGCAAGACCAAGACCTATTTTGGGCAGCACTATGGAAAGAACCCTACTACTACATCAAGTTTCAATATCCTTAGAAATTAGCTTACTAACCATTTCAACTTCCTTAACAATTTGAGTTTTAAAACCTCCAATTTTCTTCAATAACTTTTATTAAAGTTGTTGTAGATTTAAATTGGGATTCGTCACTTCTCTGTATAATTCTCTTTCGTTTGATAACTCATTCATCAAAATTCATTGCTCCTCACAGTTAGAAAAGGAATCTATACTATACTACTGTATTGCCTATCTTCAATTTATTTTAAAAAATCACCAAGTGCGTTTTTAAAATATATTAAATATCAAGTGTGTTGTTGCGAATTTCGACTTTATTTATCGATATAAAAACACTGTACTTAAAACGATTGAAACAGTTACTTTTATACAACAAGAAAAGCACACAATTTTCTGATTTCATAAAGAAACCAATTATTTTATTCTTAAGGACTCTTAATTAATTAAGATTATGAAATGACACTTAATAACATTATGTAATACATAGGAGGTATGGTATAGATTTTATATGAACTTTCTAGTTTTTCATTGAAAAATTTACATTCGTCTCATTTAATCATAAATTTATATATGATATGGTATGGAACCAAAACAAAATCGAGAATACTTAAAATATCGATTTAGTATTTAGAGCATGAATTGTTTTAAATCCCTCACGAAATTCTACTGAGTAATTTGATCCACCACACTTAAAAATCGGTGGAATCGTCCGCTCAAAAAACAATTGCATATCTTTAATCAGGCATAATAAAAACCTCCAATAAACCAGTTTAAATGTATTTTGAAATCAAATTGTTTTTAAAACACTCACGAAATCTTAGTAAATAATTTGAGCTATCAAACTTGAAAATCGGTTACAGAGCCGTCGCGTTGACCGGGGTAATCGCCCTGAGAGTATCGGCTATGGGGCCCATGGATTCTTTCAATTCCATGGATCTATAAAAAAATTAAATATATATTTTTTTATCACTAAAATTGGATCTGTACCAACAAAAAATTAAATAATAGCCACAGCGAAGGCTTTCGGCTGTTTCATTAAGTACGTAACGCGAATTTAAAAAAAAACAAAAAAAAAACGAACATGAGAAAATTGTCCACTAATGCACGGCCCTGATTTATTCATTAGTGATTCCTCCCACTAAAAAAAATCTTACATACATACCAACGTTACCCTCCATCTGATCTACTGAGAAAAATTATAGTCCGTGGTACAGACCCCTTTTTATGAAATCATTAAACACTCCTGGAACTTCATAAATAGCTTAATCTCATCGTATCTACAAATATTTTATTTACGAACATTTTCGGAACCAGGCCGTTTTCAATCTGGAGATCGGCAAACTTTGTCTATTTAATTATGTATTAAAAACTCGTAAATAACCAATTGCTTTTCACTTGAATCGTAAGATAATTTGAGCGCAAAATCAAGAGCTAGCCAAGACTATTGAGCCGTTTGGCGTAGCCTACACCCACAAATAGTCAAAATAACATGGTTATATAGGAAAAATGGCCCAATATTTTTGTAGACCACCCTTATTTATCGATTATGTGCTCAAATCATCTTAAGATCCAAGTGGAAAGCAAATATGTACTTTATGAGTTTTTAATACATACTTAAATAGACAAAGTTTGCCGACCTCCAGATTGAAAACACCCCAATTCCAAGAGTTTTCGTAAATAAAATAGTTCCAGGTTATGATGATATGGAGCATAGCCAAAGGCGGATGTTAATAATTTGATAAAAAGGGGTCTCTACCACGGATTATCTAAGTAATTAACGCACAAGACTTAGTTTTTTACTTTCACTTACGTCTATATGTAATATATAGTAAGGGTAAGTATTGCGATCGTGAAAATTTTCGAATCTCAGTTTTCAACGGAAATACATGTTTTGAGGTCCCCTGAGTTCAAATAACCAAGTGTCGCAAAATGGTGTGTGTGTGTCTGTGTGTGTGTGTTAACAGTCTAGCTCATAAACGAAAAGTAGTACGAAACTGATATTAAGTATTTAAGGTTTGTATATGGGCCGGATGTGACAGCAACTTTTTCGTTAAAATCGGCTAACCGGAAGTGCCACTTTATATGAACGCTGAAACACATTTTTACAATTTTCTCAAAAACGACTCTAACGATTTTGATCAAACTCGGTGTATCATTGTATAATTAAGTGGTCTTTAATATCATTTAGGTCTTATCCCCGTTGATGTCACTTTACAGGGCTTAAATGCCCAATGTTCATATATGTCTTCCTCTAAAGTACCTTTAATATGGTTTATTTTAAAAAGTTAACCATTTCGCATTATTCAGAGTTACGAAAAAATGCTACATATAACTTTTGAAAGAATTTGATAAATTAATAAAGAAGAAAAAAAATAAAAATGCAGTAAAACCTGCGTTCCTACAGACTGTAGCGCCTAAACGAATGTACCGATTTCAATAAAACTTCGCTAAAGTCATTTCCTCGATACCCTTTAAATTTATCTATATAAAATACTTCAACGAAAAGAAGCTGGAAAATAAGTTACGAGGGATGTTAAAATTAAATTCCGAATAACTAAAAAAATATACGCTTTTTTAAAAGTTTATGGAATTTCCTAAAAAACTAAAAAAAAGTCGTTAAAATCGGACAATTAGGAGGAAAGATATGGTCTCTAGTTTTTTTCCCTGAAGAGGTGAAAATTTGGATAAATTTAAAATATATTTTTTTAATTGTTGAGACTAAAAAAAACTTTTTTTCTACAGATATTTAATAAAGTGTCTTTCCTAAGAACATCTTTCATAAGAAAGTAGTACCTAAATTTATACTTTTATTCTC